CCTAACCATGTCTACTTGTAATCTGAGAGACTGTGACTTGCCCAGAATCAGCCAGTGCTTTCTATAGCCAAGCAGGGATTCGAACCCTGGTTGTAATCTAATACTTAAACTTCTGCAACATGCTGGCTGTCTTCTCAACAACAGCACCAAGGAAATGAAAGAAAAGAAGTTGCTTTCCCGTCATAAGACCATTCAGAAAACCCAAGGCTCTGTTTCAAGGAGTTGCGCAAAAGGGAACCTTTGACTCCAACAGAAGGACAGCCTCGGAGCCAAAAGCATTTCATGTCATCAGTCCTCTAAGGAACAGTAGATTCCTCATCCAAATGGACTATGGTTACACATTATAATCCCATCTACTTGCAAAGGTCCAAAAAGGTTAGCAAAACATGGATATCTGGATCTTTTGGTGGAGAGTGACTCTTGCTTGCACAACACTTCCTTGGACCAGCACCTTCAACGATTAACCAATCTCAGGTGAACTTTGGTTAACAGACAACGGGACAAATATTGAAGTGAGGGTCAACATGGTCAGATGCAGCATCCTCTTCCCCTTTTTGTAATTTCCCATCTGTTTCCCGGGATTCCAAACATTTAAACAGATACATCCTTCAAGGTTTCAATTATACGAAACTAAAATATACAAACTATCCACAAAATCACAAACAGCTAAAGGCATAACAAAGGGCGACAAATATAAGCGATGCAGCACATGAAAGGCCCTTTCCCCCTGAGCAATGAACCCTTCAAAGACCTGTCAAAACAAAAAGGGTTCATCATCCATCATTCTAGTGGTCTGAAAAATCTCCTTGCTTCCTTACGTACTCATCTGTTGTATGTATTTCATTGTGTTGTTATTGTGTTTTGGCTTTACTTTATTGTAATATGCTGTTGGGCTTGGCCTCGTGTAAGCCACCCCGAGTCTCCATTGGGTATTAAATAAATATTACTATTATTATTATTATTATTATTATTATTATTATTATTATTATGTAGAAATGTGCATTCTATAGACATCAGAATGCCACAGCGGGTTAAACAGATGAGCTGCTGAACTTACTGACTGAAAAGGTGGTTTGAATCTGGGGGAAGGGGGAGGTGAGTTCCCACTGTTAGCCCCAGCTTCTTTTAACCTAATTCAAAACATGCAAATGTAAGTAGATCAATCGATACCACTTCTTCAGGAAGGTAACAGTTCTCCGTGCAGTCATGCTGGCTCTATCACAAGTGAGATTGGTGGGGACGAGGAGCAGGGCCTTCTCGGTGGTGGCCCCTCACCTGTGGAATTCACTCCCCGGGGAAATTAGGTCATCGACATCCCTCCTCTCTTTCAGAAGGAAATTAAAAACATGGTTGTGGGACCAGGCTTTCGGGCAATCTGGCGGTTAGATAAGGACAATGACGACCAGAATCGATAGTACTTGACAATGTGGAATGAATTTACGGACTCTGAGATGGCGAACGCTGAGCATTAGATTGTTTTTATTGATTTTGATGTATATACTGACTGTCTTAATTGTTATAATTGCTGTTTACATGTTTTATCCATTGTTATGTTTATGCTGGCATCGAATTGTGCCTTTGTAAGCGCCCTGAGTCCCCCCTCGGGGGTTGAGAAGGGCGGGTTAGAAATACGCGAAACAAAATAAATAAATAATACATGACCTTGGAGGTGTCTATGGACAACGCCGGCTCTTCGGCTTAGAAATGGAGATGAGCATCACCCCACAGAGTCGGACACTATTGGACATAATGTCAGGGGAAACCTTTATCTCAAAAACATGTAAATGTGAGTAGATCAATAGATACCTCTTCTGCGGGAAGGTAATGGCACTCCACGCAGTCATGCTGGCCACATGACCTTGGAGGTGTCTATGGACAACGCCGGCTCTTCGGCTTAGAAATGGAGATGAGCACCACCCCCAGAGTCGGACACACTAGACTTAACATCAGGGGAAACCTTTACCTTTACCTATAGACACCAGTATGATCCGAAGGATATACAGACACTTTATGTTAATGTATATGTACATTCACATCCTATAATATCTTTCGTCTTTTCATCTGCCTGTCTGTGTGTCTATCCATCCTTCAAAACATCCAAATAAAATATTAATATTTATCAATATAACAAATCAATATGGCATTGTGATTAATGTAACTTATAACTTTCTTGGCCCAGACGGTGCAGAGGTTTGTTGACATCCCGTCATCTATTCTGCCTCAAAGAATCAATAGAGCTGCCATCTAACCATCCCATCCATCAAGAAGACCAATAGCTGTTATCTTGCAGCCCTAATCTACGAAAATGGAGGAGATGCTTCCAAACCACCGGCACAGTGGTTCTCAACCTTCCTAATGCCGTGACCCCTTAATACAGTTCCTCATGTTGTGGTGACCCCCAACCATAAAATTATTTTTTGTTGCTACTTCACAACTGTAATTTTGCTACTGTTATGAATAGTAATGTAAATATCTGATATGCAGGATGTATTTTCATTCACTGGACCAAATTCCTTATTTTGAATACTGGTAGGGTTGGGGAGGGGGTTCATTTTGTCATTTGGGCATTGTAGTTGCTGGGATTTATAGTTCACCTACAATCAGAGAGCATTCTGAACTCCACCATTGATGGAATTGAACCAAATATGGCACACAGAACTCCCATGACCAACAAAAAATATGGGAAGGGTTTGGTGGGGAGTGTCCTTTGGCTTTGTAGTTGTAGCTACAGTTGTAGCTACACATATATACACATATACACACATACATATATACATATACACATGCACACACACATACACATACATAAACACAAACATGCATATAGACAAGCACACACATATACACAATATGCATGTACATATGTAAACACACAAATATACAAATATATACACATACACACCTATATTCACCCACATATATATGTACACAAACACACATATATACACAAATATATACACATACATAAACACATATAACAGACTGG